AACCCCCCCCCCCCCCAAACCCCAAATAGCCAAAAAACAATCTGAGAAACATCAATACTTAAAAAAAAAACAACAAAAGTGAGAGAAAGAACGAATTGAATGTGTGTGAACAAGGATAGATATAATCCAATCCACAGAAAATTTCTGCCGGTGATTGATGCGATTATCGTACCGTAGCCGTTTGAAGCTTGGAGATCGCAGGCAATGGTGACGCAATCAGGGTTGAGGTTGTGGCCTTGTGGTTTCAATTCGACAATTTGGTGAAAGAATGCCGGTGATTTGGATTGTCTTAAGAGTTCAAACGTTAAATTTCTTTTATTAATTGGGCTTCAAACTTTTGTTGGTTTTGGGCTGGAATTGAGCTGTGTAACCGGGCTTTCGCACGACAATTTTGAACTGTTCTATTTAATGTTGTAATATTGGCACATCTTATCCTTGATGACGGTTTCATCCAAATATTTTTGTTTGTGTACTTTGAAATGAGGATAAATATTTTGTCAAATAAGTCTTTTAACACCTCGTAATAAAATTTTGAAAAAAAAAAAATCATCACTAGAAATAAGATATGCTAATTAACGAAATATGAATCATAAGAACATGAAGAGTACATTAATATAAGCTATACATGTGGCACGAGCGAGGCCGATCGAAATGACCTAGGCATCGGCATTTCAACTGGAACCAAATCTTTTCTTACTTTTTAACCGCACATTTTCCAAAAATTCACAATTCCAAAACTCATTTTCATTGAATAATGATAAATAAATCGAGCTAAATTGTTGCGAGTGAAAAAATATTCTGCCCTTGTTTGAGCCCTTTTTTTGGGAGGGAAATGTAATTTAGAATTGTTATTTTTTGGATAATGTATAGTTAAAAATTGGAAAAATCTTTTGAATTTACGTGTAAAATTATTTTATAGGATAATTTGGGGTTGAAATTAAGTTTTGAAAAAATGAGACTCAAACAGGGACTCACAGGACAAGAATAAAGACCCAACCTGAACTTGTAGATGAAACCAATCCCAAACAACGCTATTCAAAAGTAAATCTCATTATTCAAGCTAATGCAGTCATCTTCAACTGAAGGTAATGAATGAAGCAACCGACATATCAACACACAAAGTCCATGGGTGATAATGGTTCTTAAATTCACCATCTCAGAATAGCTATAGGCAAGCTAGCTTCAACTCAAAATTTATGGTAAACGTACTGAATAGTTACGAAGGTAATACATATTAAACAATTTAATTTAGAGTTAGCAGGTTCATCGATTATATTAAAACTCGACCTTTTTCCAATCAAATACATAAATTTCAAAAATACAGCTGAGAGCTACAAGTCTAAAATCCCCATCAAATGATATTTTTTGCGCTGTTTGAGCCCCCACTGTCTAATATTCATTCTTTTTTAAATCCATTTTTAATTATATATTCTCCTAATGAAGTAATTTTACGTGTAAACATTAAATATTTTTGGACTTTTTAACTATATATTTTATCAAAAAAATCACTACAATGTTAGGTTCAGGCCCAAAAGAATACTAATAGGGCTCTTTTAAAATTTCTGAAAGTCTTATAGACGAACTGTGTTATCACGTGTTGCGTGATGCATCGTGGATTTTCTTTAAAAAGTGCACTCGAATTTTATTCCAAATAAATCAAGCATATTATCTTCATTTTCAATTTTGTAGGAAAAACTTCACAATCATCCTCAAGTTATTGCTCGAGCGCCAAGTTGTGTTAGAAAAATAATTAGTTGCAGCAATGATCAGAACAATATAATGCAGAAATATAAAACTTATCGTCCGATCGAGTCTCGTGACAACACGATGTCCTAAAGTGAAATTGCCCGTCAATAATTGCTGTGACCTCCGTGGACAATCACTCCCAGGATACAACAATCGTAAACCACTTATGCAGCAATTACGAATGATTTTTCTAGAACTCTCAATTGTACTCCAGAATAGGTATAAAAACCCGAATATAAGAAATTCACAATATGAAAAGAGTGATTGATTCTATTTTATTTTTGTGTCTTTTTCCAAAGCAAGATATGGGTTTATATAGGCAAGATGGTAGTAACAGTCTTCACCATGTTAATGCAGAATTTTAATGACTGAGTAGTGGGTGTTTTAATGGCAGTTAGTGGGTTGTTACAAAAACAAATAGTCATAAAATACTGGCTAGTTTTACCATTAAATAATGAAGAAAAGAAAGAAAAAAAAATATTTATTTTAGTCAAGGAAGCCCAAGGCCCAAATCAAGACATTTTAATATTTGCGTGGGGAGTGATTCGAACCCCTGACGTCCCACACAAATATCACATTTCCCACCACTTTGGCACTTTATCTAATTTGATTATTTCTTTCACATTTTATATTTATATCATAAATATATAACAAGTTGGTCCCAGCATGAGAGAGAGAGAGAGAGAAGCAAATTGGCCTCTAACTTTTCTATTACAAGGTCGATCAGTTTTCTAAACACGACAATTTTTCAAATATTTATTATGTTATTTCAAAAATTTTAACAACTGTCAAAGCAAAACCTAAGGTTAGAAATGTTATTGTAATTATTTTATTGGACATAATCCAACCATTCCCAATTGTTGACACATAAAAATTCAGTCCAAATCAGATAGCCCAAAAAACGAAGCCCAATCAAACAATTCAAGATGAAGGTCCAAATAGGGAGGCCCAAGAACGTGATAACGCCATCGCCCAAGATTGCAAGTCGCCCAGAATCTGAGCGAATGGAGTGCCATGCAGTCGCCCAGAGCTATTACTCTATTCTCGTCAAAACCTTCAAGTCGCCCAAAATCTTAACAAACATAAAGCGTTGTGGTTATCAAGAAGTGCAATTATCAAAGCAGTTAGTAAAGCAGCCCCATCACGTTCCACGATTCAAGGAATTCAATCGAAAACGGTTGAACAAGGAAGAGTAATGGCAGCAGTTAAATAAGGCAGTTTTCATGACAAGCTGGCCATTATAAGGAAAGTGGGCAGTTGCAAAACGATCAAGCAGTTTTAGGCGGTTGATCACAAAGAGATCGTCCATGAAGCATAAAAGGGAGCAAAAACATAGAGTAAAGGACCGAATCAAAAACTCTCGAACAGAGAACATATAACTTTAATTTCCTTAGCTTAGACTTAAACACTTTTTTCAGTAACTCGTGTGCTTGCGCCCCTTGGAGGCACTTTGTTTTTAATTTCCAATTGTAAAGTCATCGCCAATAAAAGAACACCCTTTTTTGGGACTTTGTCTCAAGAGGTTTGTTCCTTACACAATCGTCTGATTCCTTTTAATTGTTAGTGACTAACCCGCGCGAAACAATTTGGCACGCCCAGTGGGACAGTGGTGTTTGGTGTTGAAAGTACAAAAGATGAAACAATATGCCTCAGAGATCCGATAAGGAAGCAGCAAGTCAGGGAGGAATCCAATCTGTGATCGAGCGATATGAGGAGCAACATGCCTCTCCACGAACAGATGGACAGAATCAGATCAGTAACAGTCGTTACGAACCAATGACGGAGTTGAGTTCTCGAACCATGCGTGCATTACTTGGAGAACTCACACAAGACGTTGTTGAACAAGTAAATCTTCGAAGTATTCATAATATGGAAAGATTTACCCAAAATGGGAATGCACACTATGACAACATGGCCAAACAATTAAACACTTTGAACGAAACAATGAATAAGTTAGTAGGCCAAATATGTCAACCGGTTATACCTCTTGCAAATCACTTTCAAATTAGGACAATTGGGGGACATAATCCCTCAGTCCTAAGCCCGAACCAAGGGGTAGAACCACTTTCTGGTCCTTCTACTTCAAACTAAGGGGGTACTGCAGCGCCAAACCAGAACAATGGTAGTGGTATGCCTAACTTGGGGGGGTAATCCAAACATAAGAGATAATGTCCTAAACAATGGATAGAATATTCCACGTGTTAATGAGGGAATAGATGTTCAGGCTAATGGTAATGGCCCTAATCATGGTAATTTTGTTGCCAATCAAAGACCAAACATCAGACCTCATGCAAATCAACCGGTTAACCAACCTGTAGGAATTCCATATGACCCCAACGTCATGTTGAGGAATCAGATTATGGAAATCATACAGGATCAGATGGCTTTTGGGGTGCGTCCCCTCATTAGGCCGACTTATACAAAGCCATACCCTGATTGGGTAGACCAAGCATACCCATGGCCTAGAGGGTATAAGGTGCCAGAATTCTCACTGTTTATCGGTTTAGGAGAAGTGTCTACTCTAGAACATATAGGGTGATTCACATTGCAAAGTGGTGATGTAACCGATTACCATAAAATGAGGCTTTTCCCTAGTTCATTAACAGGAGTAGCTTTCTCCTGGTTCATCAACTTGTCAGCGAACTCTGTTCAAACATGGCAACAATTGGAACAGTTATTTCACGCTCAGTTTTATAAAATTGAGTCTGAAGTCACTTTGGCTGATTTGGCGAATCTACGTCAAATGCCAAACGAATGGGCAGAAAGTTTTCTCCAAAGGTTCAAGACAGCGAGAAGCAAGTGTTTTGTACCTTTGCCCGAAAAAGAATTTGTCAAAATCGCTCAGGGCTACTTAAGCTTTGATTTAAAAAAGAAATTCCAGGACAAGGAATCTCATTACCTTTTCCAGTTGAGTGCGAATGTGATTAGGTATGAACGACTGATAAGAGAGGAAGAACAAATGAAAAATTCTAGTAAAGGGACTTATTACAAATACCCAAATTTTGATGTTCATACCATCAGTGACGAGTCATACGACCATGCCGAAATGTGTTTGGCCGAATTGGTCAAAGGAGATACGTATACTTGTCCCATAATGGCTAAGCCTAGACCATCGGACAAAAATGAGCCCATAAAAGATGGAAACATAAAGGCTAGAACGTTCTCGTTCGATGTAACTAAAGCTGACCTTATATTTGATAAATTATATAAGGATAAGCAGATAAAGTTGAGCGATAAGCACAAATTGTCAAAGCCTGAACAAATTAAGGGTAAAAAATATTGTAAGTGGCATAATGCATGGTCACATTTGACTAACAATTGCTTGATTTTTCGCCATGTATTGCAGGATGCCATTGAATCGGGACGAATTACGTTCGATGATAAGAAGAAGATGGCAGTGGACGAAAATCCTTTTCCACAGCCACTTGGAGTGAACATGGTGACATCTGGATTCAAAAACAAGTTGCCAAAATTCAAGTTGGTCGTAGATGATGGAGAAGAGGATTCTAGACCACATCCCAGCGTCTTTGAACGAATCA